CAAATGCAGCATTAATGTTTCGAGTGGTTGCTGCAGTATTATGCCCACTTTTCCACTCGTACAAAAAAGTATGTGAAAATCAGATTTATTCATATTGAAAAGAATTTGTTGAAAATCTATACATTCAAAGTCAATTAAATGGAAGAATAAAATCAGATATAAAAAGGCAAAGCTTTTAAGCTTTAAAATGTATATATATATATATATATATATATATATATATATATCATTTTAAAGTCTATATATATATATATATATATATATATATATATAAAACATGTACGAATATAAAAATTTTTATTGATGAAGAAAGCTTTAAAAAAATATATTGCAAAGTCGGACATTTGATATATGGAACAATCTATATATATATATATATATATATTGCAAAATAATATACAAATAAAATTTAAATATTTCATAAACTGCTTTTGTTTTTTATTTATTGTTATTTATTCTTTCTACAGATCGATTTTTTCTTATTAATTTCAAATAAAATAATAATTTATGTGGAAAATATCATATTTTTTCACACTGTATTTTCTACATATTAAATATATATGTATATTAATTTTTTGTTATATTTATGCCATTACTCTGTTACATTTCAATGAATCTATTTATATTAACATTTGATATATGATCGACTTTAAAAAATTTTATTTTTGAGCTTCAATATTTTAGTTATTTACTATATATTTGAGCTGCCACATAAATGTATTGTTCTATTTCGATTTCGCTTTGTCATAAGCGATAATATTTTAGTGTTATATAGAAGTAATAAATGTGACATGAATTATATAGATATTTTTTTGCACAACTAACTAATTGTATATAAGAGATGAAAAGAAAAGAGCTTTTATTTTATATAGAACACGAAAGTACAAAAAATTATAAACAAAGAAGAATGCTTTTATCTCCGTAATTCGTTCTCTAGCTGTGACTTATTTTCTTCGGATATCACCTGCTCCCAATTGGATTCTATTCTTTCACAGTCTCCTTTCGCATTTTCACATTAATTTACCGCATCCATTCCTTGCAATTCGATTTCGTAAAACAGTAAGGTCCCTCCTTTGTGATTCGCGTGGATCGTAACTTCATCGTCTTTTCTTTCACTAGGTTTTGAGTGTCAAATATTTGCGGAGTCTCGTAAGAGAAGGGAAAAAGAGAGAGAAGAGGAAGTGAAGGGAGAAAAGAACGGACGGTCACGATTCTCCTCTAGATTACATGAGGATGCGGGTGATCAAAAGTTAAGGACTGATGTAACGAACAGAGAATAGGGAGAGTGGCTTCGCGACGACAAAAGTTCTTGCAGGGGCCTGGTAGGCGGTCTGGGCGCCTGCAGGAGGAGAATCGTTTTGTAATTGATAGGAGTGTTTGTTTTCGCATTTGTAAATAGCATTCCATTAGTGCCGCCGCGAGCACAAACTGCACGAACTTTGACGCGCACGTCGAAGTTTCGCATTTCCCAGAGCTATTCCGATCCTTCAGGAGAGGACGAGTAATCGAGATTCGTCTCTATTCCCCTAGTTCGTAATCTTCGAAACTAGAGTAATTATAATTATACGGTATCATTTTTTGATACGTCGTACATTTTTTTCGGAGCGCGCGCGACGGCTAATTGTCGTGTAGCGCGGTCTCACTCCCGCACACGGAGTCTCTCTACTCCAAACAAGAACGCGTAATTAGCGGATTTCTCGTGCCGCAGATCACTGCGTTTCTAAATTTACTGCCCCGATATAGGCACACGAGGCAGAAATTGTCAATCGTTCGAATAAGGTACGAAACGAAGGAGCTCGTTCTTTTCGCGATTTCATTATCACTCGATCGTTTTTTAAAATCCGGCTCGAAGGACCATTTTTATATGTGTGGCGATTACATCGTCACATACTTCCCTGAAATTAATAAGGAAAACACGCATACGAATACGGACACTGACATATACGAAAAGGACAAAGGCACAAATAAATATAAATAAAATATAACAGACGAGACGAAAGACGAGTAGTACAGAAACAAACAAGTAAAAATAGATAGAAAATTCGCGAAGCCTCTCGAAGCCTAGCGAAGGGCGTTTTTGAGGCAAGATATAGATAGAACATTTTGAGATAACGAGAGATTCCGTTCTTGACAGTCGCCGCGCACGAACGCACATTATTAATCCGAACGATTTTCGTATATCGATTTTACACTGATGTCTTCATCGAAGAATATATTTGAATTATATACAATAAATGCATCAAGTTATTTATTCCCGACTCGTATCCTTCTAAGCAAACGTAACGGCGCGAAAAAACCAAAGTGGTGACCCCGACGTGATCGCGAACGAGCGGGAATTCGCGATTTTTATATTTTCTGACCACACGAATTACTGAGTGCGGTGCGTGTGCAATGGTGGTGACACGGGACGAGGAAACGAGCGTCCCGCTGACGGAGCCGGAGGCACGAGTGCTGGAGCAGCCGCGACTCCACGGAATGCCGATAAGTCTGCCCGGGATGCAACCGGCGAGATTTGAGCAGCCGCCAGGGTATTTTTTACCCGCCCCTGAGGTGAGCCGCGTGGGCATGCGGATGCCAGAGTTCACGCCGTCGGACCCTGAGCTCTGGTTCAGTATCGTCGACCGGAGTTTCCAAGCCGCCGGAATTACGGTCGACGCGACGAAATTCGGGTACGCGTTGATGGCCATCGGACCGCGCTATACGGTCGAGGTGCGCGACGTCATTATGAATCCGCCCGCGGAACGCGCATATGAGACATTAAAATCAGAGCTGATTAAACGGCTCAGCTTGTCGCAGGAGCACAAAACCCGAAGACTCCTCGAGCATGAGGAAATCGGGGATCGCAAGCCGTCGCAGTTCTTGCGGCACCTGCGCGGCCTCGTCGGAAGTGTCGTGGGCGACCAGGTCCTGCGAACGATCTGGCTAAGTCGGCTGCCGGCGTACATTCAGCCGCATTTAGTGACGCGAACGGGGACACGCCAGAACAATTGGCGGACATCGCGGACGCAATAATCGAGGCGACCCGGGCGCCGGTATTCCAAGTGGCGGAAGCGACGAGAGCCGTGGCGCCTCAGGGGCAGAACGCAAGTGATCCCGCGTCTCTGGAGGCAAGATTCGAGATGCGGCTGGCGCAGATGCGGCTGACGATGCAGCAGGAGATCGCGGAGCAGATGGCGGCGATTCGGCACTCAATTGAGGCGATCGGCAGTGAGCGCTACCGAGGGAGTCGCGATGACGACCGACGTCGTCCGCGTTCGCGTTCGCGTTCGCGCCCGCGCGCGCGATCGGTAGGTCGCGATCCGCCGGCCAGTGGAATGTGCTGGTATCACTGGCAATTCGGGGCGGACGCCAGACAATGCAGAGCACCCTGCTCGATGCAGCAGGGAAACGCAAGGGCCGGTCGCTAGTGGCGGCGAGCGACTCAGGCCACGGTACGCGACGCCTATTTGTGACCGACGCGACTTCAAAAGTGAGTTTTTAATTGACACGGGTGCGGATCTCTGCGTGTACCCTCGGAAGATGGTTTGAGGACCACGACAGAGATCCACCTACGAACTTTCGGCCGCCAACGGCACACCGATTTTACGTACGGGACAGAGACTTTGCAATTGAATTTCGGATTACGACGGGCATTTTCGTGGCGGTTCGTGGTCGCGGACGTCTCGAGACCGATAATCGGCGCCGATTTTCTCGCACATTACGGACTGCTGGTGGACTTACGCGGATCGCGTTTAATCGACCAATTAACGAGTCTAACCGCGCGTGGACGTTGCATCCAATGTGATGCACCCAGCGTAAAGACAATTACGGGAGAAACGCAGTACTACCGATTGCTGGAGCAGTACGCCGACATTGCGAGGCCGGACGGGCGTCCGGGAGGCGCGATCCATGCCACGCGGCATTATATAGAGACGACACCGGGACCGCCCGTCGCGTGCAGGCCGCGGAGATTCGCTCCGGACCGATTGGCGGCGGCAAAGCGAGAGTTTCGGAAAATGGTGGAAGCCGGGGTCGCGCGACCTTCGAACAGTTGCTGGTCGGCTCCCCTGCACATGGTGCCGAAGAAGGGCGAGGAATGGCGGCCCTGCGGAGATTACAGGGCGTTAAACGCGCGAACGATTCCTGATCGCTACCCGGTGCGACACATTCAAGATTTCGCGCAGGCTCTCGCCGGAAAGACAGTGTTTACGACGTTGGACTTGGTGCGCGCGTATCATCAGATTCCGGTCGCGGAAAAAGACGTGCCGAAAACGGCGATCACCACGCCGTTCGGCATGTACGAATTTCCGTACATGTCATTCGGATTACGCAACGCGGCGCAGACATTCCAGCGCTTCATAGACGAAGTTCTGCGCGATTTCGATTTTTGTTACGCGTACATCGATGATATCCTCGTCGCGTCATCATCGGAGGAAGAGCATCGCGAACACCTGCGGATGTTGTTCGAGCGCCTTCGAGAATACGGGGTCGTCATCAACCCCGCAAAATGTAAATTCGGCCAGAGTAGCGTGGAATTCCTCGGATACGAGGTTTCCGATGGAGGAACTCGCCCGCTGCCGGCGCGGGTGGAGGCGATACTGACGATGCAGTCGCCGAGGACGGCGAAGGAGCTTCGGAGATATTTGGGCATGGTGAACTTCTATAGGAGGTTCATGCCCGGGGCCGCCGAAGTATTGACGCCCCTGAACGACCTTCTACAGGGAAATGTCAAAGGAAAGGCAACGATATCGTGGACGGCGCGGGCTCAACAGGCATTCGAGGCATCGAAAACAAACCTAGCCCAAGCTGCACTGTTGAGACATCCCAGGGTGAACGCGGAGCTCGCTTTGTTCACCGACGCGTCCGAACAAAGCATCGGCGCGTCGTTACAACAACGAGACAAGGACGGCTGAGAACCCTTGGCGTTTTTCTCGAAAAGGCTAAGCCCAGCCGAAACGAAATACAGTGCGTTCGACCGAGAGCTGTTGGCAGTTTACCTGGCGGTGAAGAACTTTCGGCACATGGTGGAGGCCCGCACGTTCACGATATACACGGACCACAAGCCAATCATCTACGCATTCCGCCAGAAGCCCGAGAAGAGCACGCCGCGACAGTTCCGCTACCTGGACTTCATCGGGCAATTCACCACCGACATTCGACACGTGGCGGGCGTGGAAAACGTCGTGGCCGACGCGTTGTCGAGGATCGAGGAGCTCAATTCTCCCCTGGATTACGCCGCGTTGGCGCAATTGCAGGAGAAGGACGAGGAGATCGGAGAATGCCTGCGGCGAGAGTCCGGGCTGAAGCTCGAAAAAGTAGAGATTCCCGGAATCGGGAGAGCAATTTACTGCAACACGGCAACAACAACACCACGACCATTCTTGACAAGGCCTTTTCGCCGGGCCGCATTTGACCTGATACACAATTTGGCGCATCCAGGGATAAAGGCGACGGGCAAGCTCGTGGCGCAGCGCTACGTTTGGCCGTCGATGAGCGCCGACTGCCGGGTCTGGGCTCGAGCATGTGTGCCTTGCCAGCAGTCGAAGATATCGCGACACGTGTCGGCACCGCTCGGAACAATTGCTGCGCCGTCCAGCAGGTTCGAGCATATCCATCTGGATATCATCTTGATGCCGGTCTCAGAGGGCAAACGATATTGCCTGACGTGCGTGGACCGTTTCACACGATGGCCTGAGGCGTTCCCGCTGCGAGATCAGGAAGCGGAGACGGTCGCGAGGGCCTTCTACAAAGGATGGATCTGCCGATTCGGGGCGCCCGTGCGGATAACCACGGACCAGGGGCGCCAGTTCGAGTCCCACCTCTTTCGACGGCTCAGCGAGCTGACAGGCGTGCAGCAGCTGAGGACGACGGCGTACCACCCGCAGGCAAACGGAATGGTCGAGCGGTTCCATCGCCAGCTCAAAGCGGCCATCAAATGTCACCAGGAAGATCGCTGGACAGAGGTGCTGCCGACGGTGCTGCTTGGGATCCGAGCAGCGTAGAGAGACGACCTGCAGGCGACCGCAGCGGAGCTGGTGTACGGCCAGACGCTGAGGATCCCGGGGCAATTTCTGAGCCGACGGCCTACGGACAACGAGGACGACGCTGCCGACTTTGCTAGGACGCTGCGTGAGCGGTTCGAGGAGCTACGACCGGTGGACGGTACCCGACACGGGGAGCGACGGCCGTTCATTTACAAGGACCTGGCGACGGCCGAACAGGTGTTCGTGCGACGCGAGGGGCCCAAAAAGATGCTGCAGGCGCCGTACAAGGGGCCGTACACAGTGATCAGCCGAGGCGACAAAGTCTTTGTCGTGCGTATGCACGGCAAAGAGAAAACGGTCTCAATAGACCGTCTTAAACCGGCTTATATTTTACAGAGCGAGCCAGAAAACAACAGCCCGGCAGAGTCGACGGCGCGAGGCCAGGACACCGAGGTCGAGCAGCGAAGCGAGCGAGAGGACGCGAGGCCGCTGCCCCGAGAGAGCGAGAGGACGACGAGAGCGGGAAGAAAGGTCCGATTCCCGAGTCGTTTCCAGGCGGGCCTGTGACGCCGAGGAACCAGGATGTGCATCGAGAGCCGTGAGAAACCGCCGCAAAGAAAAATATAAAAAAAAGGACTTATATATTTCTCGCGATTTAATTTTCTTTTGATGTTCGTTCTCGAGAAAAAAAAAATTTGTTTGTTTTAGTATAATCGACACGAGCCGCGGAACGTAAACGAAACAAACGAATTCGACATAGAAATCTGTATATAGATTCTGCGTTTTATTTTAGTCGTGTAGAATTAAATTGACGAGTCTCGGACCGAGAGCGACGCGCGTTCGAATAGCATGTTATGACCATATCATTGTTATTTATTATTATTTATTATTATTTATTATTATTTATTATTATTTTGTCGTCACATCATATTTATTATGGTCTTTCAAATTCAGTACAACAGCGAGCAAAATTGTAGAATTCGTCTCGGTCCGCCAGCGAAGAAATTATTGCGGAAACAGCGCAATATTCGGACGATATCGTGCTATCGGTATAGCACTGGCGGGGGAGTACTGTGGCGATTACATCATCACATACTTCCCTGAAATTAATAAGGAAAACACGCATACGAATACGGACACTGACATATACGAAAAGGACAAAGGCATAAATAAATATAAATAAAATATTACAGACGAGACGAAAGACGAGTAGGACAGAAACAAACAAGTAAAAATAGATAGAAAATTCGCAAAGCCTCTCGAAGCCTAGCGAAGGGCGTTTTTGAGGCAAGGTATAAATAGGAGATTTTTAGATAACGAGAGATTCCGTCTTCGACAGTCGCCGCGCACGAACGCACGTTTATTAATCCGAGCGATATACGTATATGTATTTTACACTGATATCTTGCATTGAAGAATATATACTGCGAGTTAATTATAATCGCTGCATCAAGTTATTAATTCCCGTATCGTTTCTTCTAAGCAATTGCGACGACGCGCGAAAAGACACTAAATATGTATAAGATTTAACGTTGTAGGATGCCGGGTTAACGTGATCAAATGATTGTACGCGTTTTGAAACGGTTTAAATTAGTTTATTCACTTTCTACAAGTTCGTCGCGTACCGAGACTTATGTTTCTCGGCGCTCGCTCTCTCGAGGACTGACTTGAGGGCTGCGCGAATTTCGGAGCTCGATTGGACCATCAAAAAATCAGGCGATGTACACACGCCAATTAGCGGCGAGTGTACACGTTGGTTTCACGTGTTTCCTTGGCGTAAACACTAAGGAATTTCACAAAAAAAGCGTTCTAGAAAATTTGATCGTCCTCGAGGATTCGCTCCGAAGAACGAATCTTCAACAATTATAATATTTACTTATGGGTATAATAATTATTATGCTTATACATATAATTATTATATTTAATTATTTTTATTATTAATAATTGTATTAGTAATTATCACAATTTTATAATTATGATTTTTTTTATATTTTCTAGATAGTAGTGCAAAATTCATATACATATACATATAATTAGAATGTTTAACATTAAAAAAATTATAAATACGAAAAAGAGCAATTCGAGAAAAAATTTTAATGGAATTCAAATAAAAGATTTATTTAGCATTATTATACTAAAAATGTTTTGCAAAAATTAAAGGAATGAGAAATACAAAGATAAGAATATAAAAGAATAATGATTAATAACGCTAATTATATTATTATTACATATAAAGAAAGAGAAGAGTTAATAATTAACACATATATTCGACAAATTATATTCTACAAATATAAAAATAATAATAATAATAAAAATAATAAAATAAAAATAAATTATCTCTTATTAAAAAAATGTATAACCAATAAATTTTAATTAAAATCATAAAATGCGGAAATAATTATTATGTGATATTTGTCTTATCTCATGCAAATAAAAGTAGAAAGAATATGCTTCTATTTGCCATCACTTTGCGCAACATCATGAGATAAATCTGTATTTGCAAGATCTCCACATATGCTACAATAATTAAGCACAAGTTTTAAGTACACGCAGGCCTGCATTAAGGGGATCCTAAATGCACGGGCGAACTCCGATAGGGTCGATAATGAAGATTTTTTAAATATAATTATCGACAAAACTCTACAGATGTCGCAATAAAAAAGTTGTCAATCGACACACACATACATATACAGGGTGTCCCATTTTATATAATTTATAATTATATAAAAATTATATATACACAGGTTGTTACACATACATATACACATATGTATGTGTGTGTGTATTTATACAAGGTGTCCCATTTTTACTACCCCTAATATCTCTTTGTTTCAATGCATTTTATAATAAAACAACAAAAGTTATACGGTTTCAAAGGAACTATAAAATAGTACCATTAGTGTTGACCTTGCACAGTCATAAAGATTACGTGAAAGTCACTATCACATGATAAGTTATAAAGTTTCAACATTGCAATATCGCTTCTGAGAATTTTGCGCACATGCAAACTGCATCTGGGGTAAAATATTTTGTACAGTTATCAGCAAACGAATAGATCGCCTGTGGAATTATTTTTTAAAACAACCAGCACACGAATAGATCGCCTCTGGAATTATTTTTTAAAACAACCAGCACACGAATAGATCGCCTCTGGAATTATTTTTTAAAACAACCAGCACACGAATAGATCGCCTCTGGAATTACAGTTTTAAAACAACCAGCACACGAATAGATCGCCTCTGGAATTACAGTTTTAAAACAACCAGCACACGAATAGATCGCCTCTGGAATTACAGTTTTAAAACAACCAGCACACGAATAGATCGCCTCTGGAATTATTTTTTAAACCAGCACACGAATAGACCGCCTCTGGCACTAACTACTATAAAAACTATAATAATAATTATCAATTATACATGAAAAAATAAACAAAGGATTGCATTATCTTTCAGATAAAAAAAATTGAGAATTGCATTTTAATAAAAAAAAATTAAAATAAAAATTAAAAATAAAAATAAAAATTGCATTTTAAACGTCTATTTGAATGTTCTTATAAAATTACACCTACATACATACATACATACAAATATATATATATATATATATATATATATATATATATATATATATATATACAGGGTAAACCATTTTAATCTTTGCACTAAAATTTCTCAAAATTCAAAAGTTTAAGACAAAAATGTTTCAGATAAAAGTTGTATGGTTTCAAGGGGGACATGAGATGGTGTCATTGATTTGACCTTGAATAGCCATTTGAAGGTTACGTGACGGTCAACTTCAATTTCTTAAATGGAACACTATATTTTTTCTTGCATACTTTTATAGCTGACTTTAAGATCTTTCCAAAACACTACAATAAAATATTTTTTCATTAAGTATTTTTCGAGTTATAAGGCTGCAAATTTGCAGTATTTTGACATAAAATAGAAAATATCTTGGGAAATATTCATTTTTCGATTATCATACCTTAATACTTTTATGCACAGAATAATGAGACGAATCAATTGGTGTAAAGAAAACACATAGTTGTCTTAAAGAAAAATTATCTAACTGCTTATTGCAATTTTCATATTTTTTTTAAAGGTAAATATGTGTTTTCTTTACACCAACTATATATATCAATATATATGTATCAATATATATATATATATTAATACGATGTTCAGCATAACAATACGTACGATTTTTGAAATGTTTGCAACAGTTTAGAAAAAAATATATATTGTAAAAATTGATCTGTTTTGTGCAATCTATTACAAGCAATAAAAAATGAGGAAAAAAAATTTTTATAAAAAAAATTAGTGTTACCTTGAATTTTTTTTAATAAAATCATATTTTTTTATATAAATCGATTCTCAATATTCTGCATAAGTTGTAATGTAGGATGGCCAAAAAAAGCGAATAGCTTATGAGATATATTATACTTTCATAATGTACATAAACTATGAAATATCTCATGAAATCATTTTCTGATTATTTTATTCCAATTTTAAATCAATTGGTGTAAAGAAAACACAGATATAAATAAAGATATAAATTGTAAACCAGCAGCTACATATTTTCTCTAAAACTCAAATATCTCGTAAACTTTTCACTTTTTCACAATTTTATCTTTATAATTTTTGATGCAGAATATTGTAACAAATTGATTTAGATTGAATATGATGCTTTTATTTAAAAAAAAATTATGACATTCATTTTTTCATGAAAACATTTTTTTTTAATTTTTCTGTTACGTAATAGCTTTGAAACAAATTCATTTGTACAATATAAATTTTTTAATTATCAGAAACGTCTCAAATATCATGCGCACTATTATAATATATATATATATATATATATATATATATATATATAATACATACAGCATACATAATACTGTTACATACAGCACAAATACACAAAATATTACATACCTATTTATTATGCACATAAATGTATATAACGATTAGATATACAAAAAAAAAGAAATAGAAGAAAAAAGAAATAAATAGAAAGAG